AAACTAAAACTTGACCCAGGTCTACCACCATGCACTAAGCTACAGTAAAAATGGACTAAGGATCTAAACATTAAAACAGAAACACTACATCTCCTGGAAGAGAAAGTAGGAGGAACTATTGAAGACATAGGTGTAGGCAAAGAGTTCATAAACAAAAATCAGCTCACATGGGACACACTTGAAAGAATTAACAACTGAGACATCCTCTTACTGAGAAGTTTTTGCACATCAAAATAAATTACCAGTAGTGAAAGACAACAAACAAAATTGGAAAAATCTTGACAAATAAGTTCTCAGGCAAAGGTCTGCTCTTTAGAATTTTTTATTTTTTTCCATTAGAACTCTAGATACTATTTTATTTTATTTTCCATAATTTTATTGAGAAGTAAATAGCAATGAGACAGTTTCAAATCAAATTGGTTGGAAAGGTTCAATAATTAACACATTGCATACATTCTTCCTAGTGGTTAAATGTTGTACAAGATGCGGACTTGATATCCTATCTACAAACACCATTAGAACAAATCCTTCTACTCATTAAGAGAATGTAACTATATATCTATCCTAACCACCTTGAATACACAGATACAAAATGGACATTCATCTGTATCCCCTTTTTTGTTAAGTTCCATCATTTAAATACGATAGGTGTGTAAACTCAGCAAAATATTCTAAAGGAGTTCAGTAGTCCATAACAGTATTGGGTCTTCCACTTCCCTGGCAATGCCAGAAATTGTTGACCTGAGTCCCCTAAAGCTCAACACAACACCATGGCTTTACTTCTTATACTTTGTTTTTATAATTTTCTGCTGGATGGTTAAGACCAAGGTAAACAGGACCTATGCAGCAAGAATTGTAGCTTTTGGACCTGATAAGGTCAGTGAAATCCCCTCAGGATTGATCCTGAGATCCTGTACCTCAGATTGTAGAACCTTTGTCAGTGTCAGCCATGTGGATGAGTCATAGCCATTGTTTGGTAAATGTGCTCTCTGTGAAAGCCTGAGAGAATGTTTTCTCTCCTTGTGACTCTCCTTAGGCACATGCTACATAATCGATCACTTTCGTCTTTGGCCCCATAATCTCCTTGATCAGAAAATATGGGACACTACCAAGTTACAAGACATTACAGTGCAAGTTCTCATACGTCCTGAGTCTTAATTGACTTTGGAAGGCTAGGGCCAAAATGTTGGCTTTCCTTGTGGCCCTCCTTTTTCTCTAATTTTGGTCTGCAAACTCAGGTTGCTAACCATTCAGAAGACAAGCTTATTGTTATTACCATACAACCTAGGCTGTTAAGCTTAACTTCACTATCTCTCTGCATATGAAACATCAGAGGCATAACATGGAACAGGAATTTTTCATCAAAAAATTTAAGTCCCTATGGAATATGATGAAAACACATTTAAAAATTAGAATATATTTTCAAAAATAGGCATAAAGAATTATATACTTCTTTTTTTCCATAATTTTATTGATAAACAAATAGCAATGAGAGAGTTTCAAATCAAATTGGTAGGACAGTTTCATTAATTAACACACTTCATACATTCTAACTAGTGGCTAATTGCTGTGCAAGATGAGGACATGATACCCTATTTACAAACACAATTTGAACAAATCACTATATTCATTAAGAGAGTGTAACTATATATCAATCCTAACTGCTCTGAATACACAGATACAAAATGGACATTCTTCTGTATCCTCTTTTTTGTTAAGTTCCGTTATTTGAATATTACAGGTGTGTAAACTCAGCAAAATATTCTAAAACAGTCTAGGAGCCCATAATGGTATTGGGTCTTCCGCTTCACTGGCAATGTCAGAAATTGTTGACCTGAGTCCCCTACAGCTCAGCATAACAGCATGGCTTTACTTCTTATATTTCGTTTATATACCTCTCTACTGGATGGTTAAGACCACGGTAAAGCAGGACCTATGCAACAAGAGTTGTAGCTTTAGGGTCTGATAAGGTCAGTGAAATCCCCTCAGGATTTATCCTGAGATGCTGTACCTCAGATTTTAGAACCATTGTCAGCGTCAGCCATGTAAATGGGTCATGGCCATTGCCTGGCCATTGTGATCTCTGTCAAAGTTTGAGAGAATGTTTTCTCTCCATGTGACTCTTCTTAGGTACACTCTACATCATCAATCACTTTCCTCTTTGGCCCCATAATCTCCTTGATCAGAAAATTTGGGACACTACTGAGTTACACAGAAGCATGGAATATCTTTCCATTTTTTGAAATTCTGTATGATCTCTTTTATCAGAGTTCTGTAATTTTCCTTGAAAAGATCTTTGACTTCTTTAGTTAGATTAATTCCAAGATATTTCATTTTCCTCGATGCTATTGTAACACGTATTGTTTCTATAATTTCCATCTCAGTGTGTTTGTTGTCTGTGTAGAGGAATGCTATTGACTTTTGGGTATTGACTTTATAACCTGCTATGGTACTGATTTTCTGTATTAATTCTAGTAGCTTCTTGGTGGAGTTTTGTGGGTCTTCCAAGTAAAGAATCATGTCATCTGTAAATAAAATTTTTTAACTTCTTCTTTACCTATTCTTATTCCTTTTATTTCTTTCTCTTGTCTAATGGCTGTAGCTAATGATTCCAGAACTATATTAAATAGGAGTGATGATAGAGGGCATCCTTGTCTTGTACCAGATCTAAGAGTAAAGGATTTCAGATTTTCCCCATTTAGGATTATGTTAGCTGCTGGTTTTTCATAAATGACTTTTACCAGTATGAAGTAGAGGCCATCTATTCCAATTTTCTGTAGGATTTTGAACATGAATGAGTGTTGGACTTCGTCAAAAGCCTTTTCTGCATCAATGGAGATGATCATGTGGTTTTTAGTAATACACTATTGATATAGTGTATTACATTGATAGATTTTCGAATATTGAACCATCTTTGCATCCCTGGGATGAATCCTACCTGGTCATGGTGTATGATCTTCTTGATGATTTGCTGTATTTTATTTCCTAGGATTTTATTGAGGATTTTGGCATCTATGTTCATGAGGTAGATCGGCCTGTAGTTCTCTTTCTTAGTTGCTTCTTTCCCTCATGTTGGTATCAGTATAATATTTGTCTCCAGGAATGATTTTGTGAGAATTGCTTCCTTTTCAATTTCATGGAAGAGTTTGAGGAGTATAGGGACTACATCTTCTATAAATTTATTGTAGAATTCAGCTGTGAATCCATCCAAACCTAGACTTTCTTTGTCGGTAGGTTTTTAACTATATCTCATATTTCATTGGCTGTTATTGGGCTATTGAGAGTGGTTATATCTTGTCATTTCAGTTGTGGTAATTTGTACCTTTCTAAGAATCTGTCCATTTCTTCTGTGTCTTCTATTCTGTGAGAGTAAAGATTCTCAAAGTAGCTATTGATAATCTGAATTTCCACTAGTTCTGTGGCAATTACCCTCTTTTCATTCCTTATTGCTTGTATTTGAATTCTTTCTTTCCTCTTTTTGATGAGGTTAGCTAGGGGCTTATCAATTTTATTTAATCTTTCAAAGAACCAGCTTTTTGCTTTTTTAATGCTTTGAATTGTTTTCTTCATCTCAATTGAATTAATATCTGCTCTAATCTTTACGATTTCTTCCCATCTTGGGCTCGGGGTTTGGTTTGCTCTTCCTTTTCTAGTTGTGGAAGGTGTAGCATTAGTGTGTTTACTTGTTCCTGTTCTGTTTTCCTAATGTGTGAGTTCACAGCTATGACTTTCCCTCTGAGAACTGCTTTCATCGCATCCCATAAATTACAATAAGTTGTGCTTGAATTTTCATTGAATTGTAATATTGTTGAATTTCTTGTTA